CACTTCAAAGCAACGGAGTTGCCCTGCGCTCTTTTCTTATGACAGCGACGTAACTCTACTACTTTTAATTACTTTTGCGCCACTGTCATACCTACTTTCCTACATTCGGCTATCCTAACATGTCATTCGTCCCGGATGACCCCTTAAACGCTTTCATATGTTCTGCTACTGTTTCACATTTCTTTGATCCTTCGCCATTTCCGACTCTCTCAACTACATATCTACCTCGTCTTTTCTTTTCTACTATTCGATACGGTCCTAAATATTTCTGTTTTAATTTGAGTCCTATTCCGTATTGGGTACGTTTGATGACAACCAAATCGTCTATTTCATAATTAACTTCTTCTTTCCTACCCTTGTTATATGTATTCCTGTTTTCTTCAGCTATTTTCTGTAAATTTTATTTTCCTTGTTCACGCATTTCATTTCTTCCCTCAAATAACTCTTCCATTACACATTCTGTGATTAACGACCCTAATGCAACATTAGTTTTTATGCGCATCTCCACCCCTGTCAAAATTTTAAATGGAGAATACTGAGTACTCCGAGCTGGAGTGCTATTGATAGCTTGTTGTACCCTTTCTACGTGTTTGTACCAACTTTCTGGCGAGTTCATACATAATTTACTGAGCATTGTAATAACTGTTCTATGTATTCTTTCTACTTGGCCGTTTCTCCGCGGAACGCCTGTGGCTATTAATAGGTGTTTGATCCCTTTGTTCGTACAATACTCTTTGAACCTGCTTGCTGTGAACGCAGTGCCTCGGTCACTGATAATCACAGCAGGATTTCCGAAAACCATCGATTGTTTATTTAATCTTTCGATTACCTCTTCTACTCCTACACTTTCAGTGGGGTATAACCACACAAACTTGGAAAATGAGTCTACTACTGTCAACATATAGTTGTATTTTTTTTAGTCTGATCTAACGGTCCTACATGATCGATATGATACGTTTCCAATGGTCTATTACCTTTATCTATAGGATTAAAAAATCCCTCTTTTTTTCCTGATTTACTGTTCACTACTAAACATTCGATACACCCTCTCACTACTTTATCTACTTTTGGACTTATATTTGATATGTAATAATTTTTTTCAACAATGTCTTGAGTTTTCTTTGACCCAAAGTGGCCCTGCCGATGAGCGATCTCAATTATTTCGTTTTCCATAGAGGAAGGAATAACCATCCGTTCTTTAACATTATCTTTGAATAATACATCGTGTTTTAAGTAAAAATCGCCATAATTTTGAGTTTCCAAAATTTTTCGCACAGCTTTCGTCCAGTCATCACTTAATTGCGCATTCATCCATAGAATATGGTACAACGAATCCTCCAGCAACAGACAATAAACACGGCTTAGTGCATCGACATGTTTCATGTTAGTGCCCATTCTATGCTCTATTTCGTAATCAAAATCTTGCAAGAATAGAGCCCATTTTGCTACTCTAGTAGGTACATCATCTTTTTTCAATGTACACGCGAAGGCCTTACATTCGGTAACGATTTTAAATTTGATGCCAAGCAGAAACTATCTCCACTTTTTTAAACTTTCTATAATTGCTAATACCTCCAGTTCATATGAATGATATCTTCGTTTCGTTGGTGAGGTTTTCCGGCTTAGAAATTCAACAGGATGTAACTGGGCATTTTCACCCCACTGCAGCAAAATAGCCCCATATCCATCGCTACATGCGTCCGTATGTACTTCTGTTTTTGCTTTTGGATCAAATAACTTAAGTATCGGAGCGGAAATTAAAGCTGTTTTCAATTGCTGAGCAGCCAATTTTTGCTCGTCTTTTATCTCGAATTTTACGTTTTTTCGTAACAAATCACTTAATGGTTTGCCAATTACAGCATAATAATACACAAATTTTCTAAAATATGATGTTAATCCCAAAAATCGTTGAATTTCTTTGTTATCTCTTGGCATTGGAAAATTTCTAACAGCTTTTAGCTTTTCCTCGTTTGGTTTTATGCTCGAGTTTTCAATGATAAAACCTAAAAAGTTAACCTTATTCTTTAAAATCTGACACTTCTCCCATTTAATGTTTAACTCGAAACTTTGAGCAACCTCCAACACTTCTACTAATCGTCTCATTCCTTCTTCTTCATTTTGGGATGGTATTATGATGTCGTCCATGTATACCATTGCTACACCTTTCTTTATTAATTCTCTCAACACCGCATAAACGTATCGTGTGAACACCGCTGGAGAGTTTTTAATTCCAAATGGAGCAAATAAAAATTCATACTGTCCGCCATGCGTCACAAATGCCGTAAATTTTCGACTATCTTCTTCAATAGGCACATGAAAAAATCCATTTCGTAAATCCAATGTGCTGTATAAAACAGCTGACTGCAACTTCTGCAAAATATCATCTATTAGTGGCATAGGAAAGTTATCTCTAATTATTTTCGAATTTAGCTTTCTATAGTCACAGCACAACCTCTTGGAGCCATCTTTTTTCGCTACTAGAACCACCGGCGAGGCATATTCTGACATGCTCTCTTTAATAATACCCTCTTTTAGCCATTCACGTATCTGAGATTCTACAGTCTGCTGATCCGCTAGTGGTAATCTTCAGTTTCATTGTTACTGGGGAGTTATTAATCTTCTTGTTCGGCTTGTAATGCTTTATAACGTTTATTACCTCCTCTTTTCTTTTCTTTGGTAAATTTATTCAACTGGCTTTGAACCACTACCTCCGGTTCATCCCGCTGCATTGTCACGCAAATGATATAGAGATTCCTAACTTCATTTTCACATTCTCTTACATTTTCCTTATTAAAGTCGATATGTTTTTCATGAGACTTTCTCAAAAACTTTACATCATCTGAGGAAATCAAAATGTCAACTATTTCTAGGATATCGCTTCCTATTATGGCATCATATTGGACATCATCATCGTTTAACACATGGAGATTCAAACTGGTTTGGATACCATTTAAATCGACTAATGTTATGAAGCTACCTAATGTTTTAATCTCTTTTCCTCCTATACCCGTCAATGTTTTTCTCCTAGCTACCAATACAATGTTTCCTAACCGCAAATAAGTGGAGTGTCTGATAATGCAGACATCGCTACCCGTATCGATTAGAGCACGTATCTTCTTCCCATTTATTCCTAAATCTTTCAAAACTCTATTAGTTCCATTTCGACGCACATCATTAATAGTTTCTATAACGAGAGAGTTGTTTTTGTTTATATTTCCTACTACATTTTCCGGACGTTTACATTCGAATGCTTTGTGCCCCACCTCTTGACATCTAAAGCATTTATAATCTTTGATTTTGCAACTATTAGCAATATGATCCTTACCTCCACACCTATAACAACGCTTTCCATCTTTTCTATCCTCTCTTTCTATTTTTATGTCTTGTACCCCAGTATGTGCTATTTCAAGTTTCCCTCCTGTAGTGTTTAATGACGAGTATGTGTTTCTCCTGATCTTTTCGTAAATACTTAACTTACTCTTTAAATCATTCATGCTCGTTACCTGGTATAATATGGTTTTGTTTGCTCTACTGTCTGGAATTCCTTCTATAAAATAGTCTATTATGCTCATTTCATCTAACTGAATTTGATTTGCTATTTCAATAATACTATACAAATATTCTCTTAATGATTCAGTTGGTTTTTTCTTTCGTCCCTTTAATATGGCATGAACCTCGTTCATTGTTAAATTTACTGTGAATTCTGCAATTAATGCTTTCTTGAGCGACACCCAATCTTTTACCTCTATCTGGCTTCTGACAAACAATTTGGCTGCGCACTTGAGTAACTGCTTAGCAGTTGATCGTTCCAGTTTACGCTAATAGCCATTTCTTCCAATTGTTCTACCCAAATCTTAACACTTGGTTGACCCACCCCTGCAAATGTAGTGAGAGAGTCTTCCACATCACGAAGCGTAAACAGTGAACGTTCTTGTATCGTTTTAACAGTTGCTATTTTGTCAAACTGTATTTCTTTGTCTTCTACATGATAATGATTAATTAATCTTTCTCTCAATTCTTGCTTTTTGCCTACTGTATTTAAATTTAATCTTCTAAGCTCCCCTCTTAACCCTTCCATACTCAGCGCAATGATACTGTTAATATTCATGGTGACAACGTTATTACAATCTTTTTCAAAAAAAAAATTAAAATTATGACTAAAAAGTAAATAAGTTTGAAAAATAAAATATAAATTACAAGCTAAAAAAAATTAAAACGTATCAATTTCAATACGCAATCAAATAAAACAAAATGTGTACTTAAACAAAATATAAAAATTTCTGCCAGTCTCCACTGCACCGCCAGCACCCGCTACGCATCACCTTCGTCACTCGCCAACTTCGTCAGAACAGCTTTTGCGTTGTTTGTCTTACCACCTCAGTGACTGCATTCACCTCTGTATGCACTGCGTTTACTACTACGTTTAACAAAGCACATGTACACACACACAGCTTACTAACAACTTCGATCACCACGCCGGCGCCAACTAATAACAACAAATTTTTTTTTTTCTTCTTTTTAATTTGTGTATTTCACAATATGCAGCTCGCTTAGAACGGATCAAACATAATTTTGTTTAACTCCACAGTTATTTTAGTTAGTTTTTCATTGTTATGTTTGTCACTTTTAGTTTAACTCTATTCAAATTTTTATTTATTAATTTATGTCACATATTTGTTTTTAATAACTTCAGTGTAAATAACAATTTTCAATCATTCAAAGTTTAAAAATTTCGATGTTTCTTAAATCACACTTTTTGCATTTTTTTATAAACTCGTTCATATATTAAATTTACACATATGCATTTCCTAAGCACCATTTTTTTTTTATTTGACTCTTAGGTTGAGCCCCCAAAGTTTGTAGGTTCTAGACCTTAAGTTTATTTAAATTTTAATAGTTAATTGTTATTAAAAGATTATTTGATCAAATAACTATAATAACTGAGTGTAATAATTTAATGATTATTTCTCAACTTAATTTTAAACTAATTTTAACGCGCACACACCATTATTTTCTCTGCTTCCTTCTTCTACGAGCTGCCCACTGCTACTGCTCTTTTCACTTCAACTCACTTCAAAGCAACGGAGTTGCCCTGCGCTCTTTTCTTATGACAGCGACGTAACTCTACTACTTTTAATTACTTTTGCGCCACTGTCATACTACTTTCCTACATATATATATATAAATATAGGATATAACTTAGATATAAAATAATAATAAATATAATATATATAATATATATATATAAATATATATATATATATATATTGAATTTAACTTAAAATTTGCATATATAACCACTTATGCAAATGAGTAACCAAAATCTTCCCACAAAGAGAAGACATACGATAAGCATTCCAAGTAAACGAAAAGCTTATATGGTAATAGAAACATCTAACACGTTGCCCCCCGAAAACAGTATCATCCGATAAAAGCTCTTCAAACATTGCATCTTCAGCAGCATCGCTTGCAATTCCCAATACAGCCAGTCCCAAAAATAAAATAAAAGTCCAAACAGACATGGCACGCTGTGTCATTATGAAATGGAAACTTAGTCCTCAAAAAAGCAATTCAAAAGTTGCTAAAATAAATAAAACTGACAAAAGATAGTGCATCTATAAGCATCCTTTCTGGCAATAGATTTGCTGTACTAGCTGAAATTGCAGAGAACGCTAATCAGCCTACTATCAAAAAGTTTAAAACCCCTCCAATCTACTTGCGTGAACGCAGTTGAAATAACCTAGTTACACTCCTTGTATATTTGATTGGTAATAATACGTTTCATATTGTTGAGATAACAAATGCCCTAAGCGAAAAAGGCTTTAGCGCTAGAGCAGTTATAAACATTGTTACTAAAGATAAAATCCCACAACCTATGTTCAAAGTTGAACTTCACCCGGAAGCTTTTAAGCTTAAAAACAATGAGAGCCATCCCATTTGCAACCTACAGTATTTACTTCACCGCAGAATTGACGTTGAGGAGCCCCGCAAATGAAATGGTCCGGTGCAATGCACAAACAGCCAAGAGTATGCCCATACTAAGTCATATTGCACTCTTCGTACAGTGTGCGTAGCTTGCGACGAGCTTCGCCATAGTTCCGAATGCGATAAAAAAGCATTAAAGGATACTAACTCCAAAAAATGTAACAACTGCAGTGAAAATCACACCGCAAACTACAGAGGTTGTCCTATTTATTAAGAACTGAAGCACAGGTTAGCTCTGCAGAAAGAAGCGTTGCGTAATCCCACAAGAAGTACCTCTATCAAATTAGCTGAAGCTATGCAACATTTGTCTTCTAATCCTGTTACACCAGGTGTCTCATATAGTGATGTCGTTAAATCTGACAAGCAACAAGCTCCTGCAGTTCAAAGCAATAGTATGGAAATGATGATCTCCACTCTTACCCAGAGCTTAAATCAGTTTATGTCAGTCATTCAAACTACTCTTATTGAGATAGTTAAAATGCAAAGCTAATTAATGCAAATGCTTTTGTCTAATAAATGAGTACGTTAAAAATTTGCATATTGATATGATGTAGTTTATCGTCTGTTTAAATTTTTGTTTGTATTTAGATTCTTATCAGCTTACAGACCCAAACAATTAAACGCATTTATTTAAAAATGTTGGCAAATATTTCGTTCTTTATTTAAGAACTTCATCAGTGCTATATAATAACAAACATTAATTTAAATATAAAATACTAACATCAAAATATATATACCTTATTTTTTATAAAATGCAGTACTTTTTTGTTCCACAATAGTCATTAGTAATAAAAATTGAATTAACAAATTAAAATAAAAATTTAAAACAATTAAAATTCACACATTTAAACTTAATACACAATTTTTTTGGACATAAATATCTAGCATAACAAAACTAAAAAATTTTTTTAATGTTCATATTCCGCCAAAAATAATAATAATAATAACAAACGTTTTCTTTTTTATCTCTTATTACTCAATAAGTAGAAACCCAACAGGTGACTTTTATTTTCTTTTATCTCTTATTTTTGATTAACTTGTATTTATCCAATAAATTAGAGTAAAGTGTGCTAAAATTTTCCGTGTCACTCTTGTAGTTTACCACCTGTTCATTATTTAATATGATGTGAATAACTTCACTCATTAATCTTTTATGATAATTATTTTCAATTTCCAGAATTATTATTTCATCAAAGTTAAAGCTATGTCCTTTAGAAATAGAATGTTCAGAAAGAGCTGTTTTTTTCCCATCATCTTTACGTTTACACGTACTTTTGGGTTCACCAACTCTTTTTGCCAATCTTTGTTTGGTTGTTCCTATATAAGCTCTATTGCAATCATTACAAATCAAATAACATAAGACAAGATGTGAATTACACTAAACAATTTTTACGTGAAAATAGTAACATCTTAGTAATGAGAGCAGACAAAGGAAATTCTACAGTTGTTGTATATAAAGATGAATATATTCAACACATGACCGATTTGATCATCTATATGAGTTTATTAACAAAGAACCAACTTTCAGGAGATATATCGAAAACCGAATTATATCAACTGAAAAAACATAATAGTGTTTGTCCTAAAGCTTATGGTCTTAGAAAAACTCACAAAGAAGATACAATAGGTTATAGACCAGTTATAAGTAACATCAACTCTCCTACTTATAACTTATCGTCTTATATTCACAAAAAAATCTTTTCCCAAGTATGCTCAACTTTTCACAGAAGTGTAAAAATTCATTTGAAGCAATAGAAATTTTAGAACAACAAGTATTCCTGAAGGATATATATTAATTTCATTAGACGTAGTCTCTCTTTTTCCAAGTATTCCCAGGACATTAATGATTGAAATGATTAAAAAACATTGGAATTACTTAAGTTGTTACACTACAATCTCAAAAGCTAAAATCATTGAAATTTGTCCTAAAGCTTATGGTCTTAGAAAAACTCACAAAGAAGATACAATAGGTTATAGACCAGTTATAAGTAACATCAACTCTCCTACTTACAACTTATCGTCTTATATTCACAAAAAAATCTTTTCCCAAGTATGCTCAACTTTTTACAGAAGTGTAAAGAGTTCATTTGAAGCAATAGGAATTTTAAAAACAACAAGTATTCCCAGGACATTAATGATTGAAATGATTGAAAAACATTGGAATTACTTAAGTTGTTACACTACAACCTCAAAAGCTAAAATCATTGAAATTGTAATGTTTATTTTTGACAACAGTTTTTTCAAATTCAATCAAAAAATTATACACCAATTGGATGGCACAACAATGGGAAACCCATCTTCAACATCATTAGCTAATTTCATTATGGAAATTATCATATCAAATGTTTTGGAAAAATTACCATATGAAGTGAAATTAGCAATGTATTATGTAGATGATACTCTTTTTGCAATGCCAAAAGAAGAGGTAGAGAAGACAGTAGAAATTTTTAATAATATAAATCCGAGTATTCAATGGAACAATACCGTTTTTAGATATAATGGTGATAAGATCGGACAATAATAAAGTTATTACAAACTGGTATATGAAACCTACATCATCGGAAGTTTACTTAATTTTCTATCAGACCACCCAATTCACCAAAAAATTAATACGGTTAGAAACCTGATTAGCAGAGTTACAAGTCTCAGTGATGACAGGTTTATGGATAATAACAAGAAATAAATTAGACAGATGCTT